CCACCAGACAGCTGTCGAGTCCCTGAGCTCAGAACATCAGTGCATAGGGGTCTGTCTGCAAAACTGGCTAGAGCGGAGGCAAAGATAATCTCCAGAAGGATCCCGGACGAGCCCCCAGTTGGCAGATGGGCTTTTCTTCTGACACTTACCTAGCTGAGCAGTGGAAATGCCCACACTGTGGTTGGAGTCAGTTTTGTGGCAACAAGACAGGAAAAAAGCAAACTTCACCATAAGTACTTTCAAATCCCAGAGTGGCAGCATTCAGAATCATACTATTCTTGTTGGCCGTTCACAGGTAATCTGAGGCTTTAAACTCGCACTTTACAGCGCATGAAGGCATCTATGGCTATGATCCGTTAAATAGGCACCCAGAGACCTTTATATGTGGGCAACAGAACGGCTGCAGAGTAGAGGGCTCAAGAGACAGCAATTCTAACATGCCTCTGTTTGGTTGTGACTCAAGTGGTACAATAGAGTACTTTCATTACACAAACCTACTACCCTTACAAAATACAGATTTTAATGAAGGGTGTCTACAAAAAAAATAATTTTCTCTTTCTGGCCTAAAATAAGTTAAAGATCAGTAAACAAGAAATTTTAAAGGAGGATATAGCCCCACTGACACAGGAAGAAAATATTGAACAAGAATTACAGATGGAGTATATGGGGCTGCACAATCTCTGTAATTGTTTTGTGTTGTTTGTGGGTTTTTTTTTTTTTTTTTTAATTTATCCTCTCTCTTTGAGTAGACCTTTACTGTATGAAGAGAATATCAAAATATTTTCTGACTTCAATATCTCCTACCCTGTAAAGAGCTGATTTGTGGTTACTTCTACACTGGAGGAGTCTACACTGTCACGACATGACAATACTAGATTGTTCACAGTATAATCAATGGAGCTGTCTAAACTGTAATTGTCTGATATGCTCTTTTGTGCTGAAAATGCCTTCAGTTGACAGACAAGCACCAGTCATGTTCTGTTCATTTTAGACAACTACAGTGCTGCAGTGATGACATATTTTTGTAGGCCAACCAAAAAGATTACATCACCCTAGCTCCTTTGACAGAAATAGGATGTTTCCATTGGCTTTTGTATTATTGCACAAAACAGAACAACAATAGTTTACAATTCTTACAGTTCATCATGATAATCAGCACAACTGTATCTAAATACAAAAAAATATATACAAAATCTATAAAAGTTTTAGTTTAATTTTTCTGATAAAAGACTAAATAAAATAAATAAAGTTTAGTTTGCAATAGCATGATTATAAACACAAACAGGCTGCCTGCTGGTCTGTGTACTTTTGCGTCCATTAATTTTTCCTTTTTTAACACTTAGAAATGAAATATGGAAAATCTTTATTCTTTAATGGTTCTGACACTAATTAATAGAACAAGCAGGCACAATCTAATTTTCATTATTCAAAATTATTATTTCATTAAAAACCATAAAAATGATAAACAGCTTTTTTTAATGTATATAAATGCTCAATTTAATTTCTAGCTTTTTTGCGTCTCTATACACATGCTAAAAGTGCCCTCTAGCACTATACAGACGTGGCTACCGGTAACCGATTGCTTTTTTAAAAACCTCTACCGTTAGTATTGAAAGGCATGAAAATTGTTATGATCATATAGCTAGTTTCTCAAATTATCTTGATGTTTTTTTTACGCCTAAAATATGTATGATATAGTCATTACATATTTAATTATTTGCATACAATCAGCTGTTTGTATCCAAGTACGGTCTACAGGGATGCTAGAGGTGCTAAGCACCCTCAAACGAAAGCAAGGGCACCCTCAATTGAAGCTGTAAAAATATGGGGAAACATATTTAGCAAACACTCCAGTGTGTATTTGCGTTTGCACTCTGGAGAGCTTTAAATATTTCTATTTACAACGTGTTTTTGCAGCGTTGATCCAATCACAGACATACAGTAGGCTATCTGCTAATTTCTTGAATGCAATGGCCAAGCAGAGGTGTTTTCATTCAGAATCCACTCACCACTCAAAATGCCGCTGTTTTGATCACTGCTGACTGCTGAGAGCTCACGAATCCTCTCATTATAATAAAGTGTAGACACAATGTTAATAAGAGATGTGCTCCTTGCATGCATTCCTAGTAATCCATTCGTTTTTTTTTTCTTATGCTGAGCTCAGAACATCAGTGCATAGGGGTCTGTCTGCAAAACTGGCTAGAGCGGAGGCAACGATAATCACAAGAAGGATCCCGGACGAGCCCCCAGTTGGCAGATGGGCTTTTCTTCTGACACTTACTTAGCTGAGCAGTGGAAATGCCCACACTGTGGTTGGAGTCGGTTTTGTGGCATCAAGACAGGAAAAAAGCAAACTTCACCATAAGTACTTTCAAATCCCAGAGTGGCAGCATTCAGAATCATACTATTCTTGTTGGCCGTTCACAGGTAATCTGAGGCTTTAAACTTGCACTTTAAAGCGCATGAAGTCATCTATGGCTATGATCCGTTAAATAGGCACCCAGAGACCTTTATATGTGGGCATATAAAGGCTTTATATGTTTTTATATGTTTTTAATTTTCTTATGCTGCTAAAAGGACCGGAGGCCACTTGCACGAGGGTAAAAATCACGTAAATCTTGGGCCCTTGGAATCGTCCTAACCTTCCGGATTTTGGTGTGTGAAAAAGTGTGTGAACCTAGATGTTTGTGACATTACACCGGATGTGTTATTATCAGGTACAGTAAATAGCTAGTAGCACCAATAGTGTGAGTTGAAGGTGGAACTACCTTTTGGAACAATCAAAACAGACAGCGGTCATGGTCAAATGATCAGTAGAAATGTTTGGGAAGTGTATTTGGAAACTTGTTTTTTTTATTTTTGCAGTTTCATTAGGTGCTACTAGCAGTGCATTACACACAATTATGCACAAAGTTCAAATCAAAGTTTAACTGAACAGCAATGCAGTGTGGTAACCACCAAAGGAAATGCAGACAATGGTGCTCACGTGATCTTTCCCTTGATACAGTTGAATACTGCAGTAAAGTAGTAATAACTACAACCAAACAACAGTGCAGCAACTTAAGTTAAATCGCTGTCAGTGTAAAAGCACGTTAACTAAGGACAGCAAATCTATTGACGCTAGCAAAACTGCAAAAAATACTGTAAGCAGAATATACTGACTTTAATCAAAACTCACATCAAGTGTCAGCTGCTAACACTTTGTTGACAATTTCTTTGATTCAAGAATCACACAGAGGTGTTAACACGTTTCAATCTCAATGGTTCTCTCAGCAGTTGCTAAGTAACTCAGTCACGGGTCTTTCTTTTGTTGTAAGAGACAAGGGAAGAAACGAGGAGTTTCACGGTGTAGTTTTTAGTTTTCGAGAATGACCTTAGGTTAGATCAAAACATGACAAGGTTATGCTCTGGAATCTCACGCGAGACTGTGTGGAATGACATGAAGTGGCATGCTGTGGAAGTGTATGTGTGGTGCATATAAGGTACCTTGTGTTAAGAAACCCTCAGGAGAAAGAAGCAGAAGTCAGAAAGGTCAGATGCCGCTCAATGAGATTCTCAAATAGAATTCTAGAGTCTGTTTAGATGTTTTAAGCCTTTTATTGCTATTAAAAACCATTCTCCTGAATGAAAATCCAGGCAAAAATAATATTTGGCATTGTGACATGATGGTACATTGGGCAAAATGACCTGAAATGGTCTGATGAATAAATGCTGGGTTATCGCTGTTTTCAGTGGAAATTACATAGTTGGCTGTCAGAACACTGTCATTACAGTTTCTCTTACTTACCAAAACAAGAAAACCCGGCAGCCGAGGTTTTTAAGCAGCACATTCTGAACAGAAAATCCCATGAATGATATTGAATGATAAATATTGCCAACAGTCACTTACAGCTCCTCAATAACACACTGCTGGTTGTGAGTAGTGTTGGCACAGCGTGGTTTGAGCTGGCACATCCAGGTCACTTTTACTAAAACACTACATGAACATTTATCCTAATTAGATCCAAAGCAAAGCTCTGCGATTAGCACTTATTACAGTACTTTCATAAAAGGTTATTCCGTTCATAAAGCCACTGATACATTGGTAATGCCATGGTTAAAATGAACAAGCATGTTTAAAACAAACTTGAAATTAGATGTAAACACAGACCTTTTAATAAAATAAACAACATAAATTAATTCAAGTATCCTCAAGATGCAGCCATCCAAGTTTTAGCACATTGAGCTCATAGAGAATTTACCAAACATACTCTACCAGCAACGATATTAAAAATCCCTTTCATCAGCACTTCACATCAGACAGCTCAGACGCTGAGGTTCATATTTGCATCTACACAATATGGCTCATAAAAGTTATGCAAAAGAGACTTGCATCCCTTAAGTTGATAGGTGATCTCAGCTTTTAGTTCAGAACAGGCAACTATAGTCTAGTATAATGCAAAGCATTTACTCAAACAGTAAGCATTTCTAATTCTCTATAATACTCATAAAACCATACACCTAACCTTTAACCCTAACCCTGACTCCAATTTTAACACCTAACCCCTTAATACTAACTCTTTCCCTTTCTAAATCATTCTTAGGGGGGCATTCACACAGGACACATTCCATTTGCACGATTTTTAAGCACTTCATCTACAATTTTTATGCATTTATTTTTTAATATTAGGATGCGAGCTTGTCAATTGCATGTGACTCAACTTTATATTGTGTTGTCCTTCCTGACTGCATGCACACATGCATGTTTTGTTTGTTCGGCAACACGTTACTTAAAGCCTATATTTATAATGAATTATAAAAGTAGTTTTAATGTATTAATTATCCCTTATAATATACCTTATAATGCATTGTATGATCTCATGAATAATTGTAACCATAGTTCTAATACATTATAATGCTTATCAATTCATTGTTACACGTTTAGAACATATAAATGCATTAAAACACATGACATACAAACCTTCAAATAATATAATGCATTTTAACTTTGGTTATAATTATTTATGAAAAGATATAATGCAATAGAGAACACATAATGAATAACTTTACAATGCGTTATACATAAAGGCTTTAAGTAAAGTGTTACCTGTTTGTTTGTTTTTTATTATTATTATAATTCCTTTTTTTTATGAATAATTCAAACTGATTTGTCAATCAAATGAAACATACACAAGGTCACCCACACTGGAATACAAATCTCTGGTTGTTGCCACACTTTTTTTCCCCCTCACGATATGAATGTTTTCAGGTGCCTTGAAAAGTTAAAAGCTGTTCAATCTGTCGAGATCCTGTGTGAACGACCCCATATTGTTACAATTTTAATTCTGAGAAGAATTTAAAATAGACTAAATGAGCTAAAATATAAAGTTACTATTAAGAAAGTGACATCACGTATATTAATCGATAAAATGATTTAGGGAAAAACTGTGAAAAGGAAATTACACCATGGTTAAAAAGAAAAGAACTTGAACATGACCTTTTTCTTTTTCCATGACACTAAAACATTCACTGGAATCCATTGAATAAAATGTACAGTCTTGAAAATAAATTCATGTTCTTCATCTTTACAAGCATTCTAAAGGAGATAGCAATGCAGCAGATATTTTACAGCGAACAGGAGGCAGGGACTGCTCGATCATATGCATCTGATGCATTAACAATGCAGACGGGCAAATCCCCTTAAATATGCTGCTGGAGTTTGTGAAGGTCTCAGACGTTATGCCCTCAGGTCTGGATATCTAAAGTCTGGATATGGTCTCCCCCAGCAGGTGTCGGAGTCCAGTGGCCATCAGAAGTGACCCATCCGTGCGGTAAAGATGCTTCGGGGGCGAGTGGAGGATGTCGAGCGGCCGAAGCTAGATGACGGCCACTTGATGATGAACTGGGAGGTGACTGGCAGCAGATACCTACACAGACGGAGAGAGGAATCAGACATGGGGGTTGGCCAGACTCAAAAACAGGATTAGACACACAAAGGTCAGCTAAAAAGATCAGGCACTTTTCCTCCCTCTCCGCTTCCAATCCTCCTCCAGCTGATGCTTTAGATTCCGGTCCCCTCCGCTGACCCTCACGTTTACACTGTGCCGTTTTTAACAATGAGTGACACGAGTGGCTGAACGTGACTTGTTTTAACAGATGAGAACTTGTTTAATGCACAGGATGTTCTGAGAGAAGATAACAGGTTAGATAATTATGGCCTACACAGAGACAAGGAGGGTAACCAGCCTGGACAGCTGACGACCCACACTATCTAATTGCAGAGCAGCTTATTTATAATTCCACTCGAAGCAAGGCAATTTACACTGTTAATTAATTCAATAACAGTGACAATAAAACACAAGTTGTGCTCAATACGCTGAATACACAAAATCGTTTAAATAAACAGCTAGCTGCTTTTTTTTTTCTTTTAGTAGTGTTAAATAAGTTTTTTGGGGGAATGACAAATATGGATGTCTATATAGTTCATACATTTCTAATAGTTAGTAATGAACTCAAGTTCTTTTCATATGTTCTGTTTCATATGTTTTTGCAAAAGTTAAAGATTTAGGTTTAGATTTATGTATGTAAAAGACAGTTGTAACCAATCATAAATGATAAAATGTAAATATGAATAAAACATTTTTTTTAATGAATTTCTTTCTTCTGCAGAACACAATAGAAGATATTTTGAAGAATGTTGCTAACCAAACAATTGCTTGTCCCCATTGACTTCAATACCATTTTTTTCCCCACATACAATGTAAATCAATGGTTTGGTTATTCACTTTCTTCAGAATATCTTTTATGTTCAGCAGAAGAAAGCAACTCATACAGGTTTGGAACAACTTGAGGGTGAGTAAATGATGACAGAATTGTCATTTTTGCGTAAACTATCCCTTTAATACCTAATCAAGTATTTTTCAAGAAATTCAGTTATTCAGATATATTTTATAACAATATATAATATTTTATAACAAAAAATTGAAAAGGTTGTGTATTCAAATCATTGTTTGTATGAATGGATATTAAAAACAAAACAAAAAACAAAACAACAATAGTAGGAGTGTCACGTCTCTTTTTAATTAAATCACACGAAGCAAGCCCAGAAAGTGGCTTTGTACGAATGCAATGCTGTAGTTATGACAGCAAAACATAATGCCAGTACAAATTAGGACCGCTTCTTATCTAACGAAAGAAGATTTGTTCTAAATCCCCTGCTGCAGAAAGAATCTACTCATGATACTGCACTAGGCATGTATTTGCAATGCATTTACTCCAATCGGTAATGCATAATAATAAATGCAGATGTCCTGCATTGTGTGTTATGGAGCATAAAGCCCTGGACAATGATGAATATCGATAAATATGTCCAATGCACACATTGAGCCACCTTTCACATTATGGGCACGTAATCTTTCTATGTTCCTTTCATTAAAGCTTTCAGACCCAATGCTTTGGTTCTTCCCTCCGGGAACTCCAGACAGGTGAGTTCTCAGGAAATGGTTTTGGGTTGGGGTTGAGCCTCATTACCATATTTTATACTACAGACTGCTGAGTTTGGTCAACAAAAGGAAATGTCAAAGGAATATGAAATTCAAATATGAACATATATGGAGGTGAGCCTTTCTGGCTCTGAAGAATTCCCTGTAAGAAAGTCTCATCCATGAGAGAGCTCCATCACTCAGGGTCCAATCAGGCTGCAGGCAGTGTTTAATTGGACCTCTGTGAGGATTCCTCCAGGTCTTTGGCTTTTGATCATTGAGCAGTTCTTGGAAAAACCTGCCAGTGCAAAGCCCCTAGAGAACCGCCAGCTGTCTAACCTTCGAACGTGTGTGTGCTTTACTAATTACACTCAATCGCTCGGAGATCTGCACATATCTCACGTCTGTTTGCTTGTTTAAAGCCTACACTCTATCACCCAACTGCCACACACTGCATAAAACTTTGAGAGGGTACTTTTAGACACTTTGAGAGAAAATGGAGACTTCCTTATTCACCAAATATCATTTTACGGTTCTCAAAAGTTAAGAAAGGTTTCCGTTGTTTTACATTCTGATAAAAATTCTCACAAAACTTTCAGTTGCATCTTATGCAACTGTGCTGTTGTGCAACCATGAAAGTGTCCTGTTTTCATTCATTCTAAAATTATTGTACAGGTTGCTATTACTTTAAATGACTAAACACTGATTTCTAAAGACTTTGGTGGTAATACCTTACATGTAACCCCTTTTTGAAGTAATGCTTTATTAAAACTTCACCATAATGCCCAAGTTCTGTTTTCAAATGCATAACAGGTGTAACTTTTCTTCTTATTTATCAACAAATAGAATCATCACCCACACTGTCTGTACACTGCAATCGAGCAGTAAGCACAAACTAGATTGCTCAAATGAATATATCTACAGTAATTAGTTACTTTTTTAGGAGTAATGCAACAATGTAACTTTTAAAAGTAAAGTTTTGCACTACTTTGTGTTTATGATGGGTAAATCACGTACCGTATCTCCAAAGCCTGAAAAATTTTCAAATTACAAAAATGTAACGTGGGACTTTTTGGATTTTGTTCATATGAAATTGATTGGATGGTAAAACACATTGGCATTGCATACATATAACAGATGGTTAGAGGAGGGGCATACAATTAAAAGGATTTGGGTGATGTCAAATGAAACTTATTATATTTTGATCAAAGATTCCAAACACATTTTTTGGAATATATGTGTGCTGATATATTGTACAATCTGGAAAACGAAGTATATGAGGTGAGTTTTGATTTTGTATTGACTTATGGTTACAGTTGATCTCTTTGACAAAGTGCACATTTCTTGTCACTTGACCTCTTCTCCTTCTATCCAAGAGAGAGGACAGTCACCTGATGGATCTGAACAAGGAAGGGGGAGGAGGCGATGGAGTAAGAAGCGAGGATTAGACTGTTACCCAGGCATCATTTTCCTAACGAGGCAAAGCAGATGCTGGCTGATTGAAAAATAACGGATCCCCAAGGGCCGTTCCAGCAATGAGTCGTCAATGAGGCATGTCCTGAGAGAACACAAGTGTGAGAAGAGAGCGGATATTGGCTGGGATGAGTGGAGAGGATATTGAAAATGACTGGCTGGTCTCTCCATGGAAATCCAGCAAAAAAACAAAAATGAAGGCAAGCAGGTGGACAAAGGTTAAATCCAAAACCAAAAGATACAGCC